CCATTGTAAAGCATTGAAGTGTATGTATTGAAGTCTGTCTCCAAGGAAGAAAACACTACCCTTCCAGTGGTGCTACCCCTGCTCTGCAAAAGTTAACTGCTTGTTTATATCTACAGGAGTTGTGAAAAGGAGTTTTACCTACCTGATGCTTGCTCTCCTAGCAGTTGGCGCTCACCTCTCTCCCCTAAACTCTGGCTTGGGGACTATCTCGGGTTCCTCACGTTTTAATGAAGTGCTCTTGGCCCTGTATTAGATGTGATGGCCTCAGTGGGCATCCGACCAACAGAGTTGAAGAGGCTGCAGATGCTGGCCTTTTAGCCTGCAGGGATCAGGTAAGTAAAAGTCCTCTACACAGGTTCTGTAGATATTAATGAGTAGTTAACCCTTACAGAGCAAGGGTAGTTACTTTTTGCTAGAGATAGACTCTTGAAATTGTTTTAGATAGAGCAAGAAATAGTTAGGACTCTTACAGATTGTTTTTTTTTTTGGCTGTCTTTGTCCCAACAGGCAGATTTTCCTTCATTTACTGTCCCAGAGACAAATTGGGAAGGAAGAGGAGAGCTCCCCAAAGCCAGGAGCTATCCCCTCTTAGACAGTTGTCACTGGAACAGGTTTCCCTAGGGGAAGGGTCTCCCTCGCCTCCTATTTCTGCAACAACTCAGCAAATTAGGATTTCCCATCACTTTTTGTAGCAGAGAAAATGGCCACCAGGACTAATAGTGAGGTTAAAGAAGAACTGCAGGCAGAAATGTTATTAAACCTTGCAGTGGGGCTACCCTGACACTGCAAGGGTTAACTGCTCGTTTTTTGCCCAGGGTGAAAATGTTATACTTAACCTATCCTCAGAGCTGTCAGCGCTCCCTCCAGCCTGTCTCCTTCCCTGCTGCAACGATAGTATGTCCCTCAGCATCCTCATGTGCTATACGCTTTATTGGATGTGATGACTCAAGGATCCTTATATGGCTGCAGTGGAGGGGGTGAGACGCTGGAAGTACAGGTTAGTATAACTTTTATTTTTTTTGTGACCTTAGGCAAAAACAAGCAGTTAACCCTTGCAGTGTGGGGGTAGCCCAGAGTTCTTCTTTAAATCTCTCTAGCGGGGACACAAACAAAAAAATATGAGGTTCCAACACTTTTACATTCTATTCAAAACTGAAAAAGCTTTGCTTTACATACATTGTAAAGGGTATGTATGCCCATATCAAAATTGGGGGAGAATCTGGAAGCATTCACTCACTACCCTGGTACTAGGACTCCAGGGGATGATTGGAAACTTTAGCCTGGGGAGCAAACACAACCAGTGGACTCTTGCATGGTAGGGAATTTTTTCTATCAGCTAAAGTGTAGGATGCCAAGTGGGCTGTAGTACGGCAGTGATTGGTGGCCATGGCAAAAGGTGTGTGTTGTCTTTATGGGCCTATTCACACCACATCC